AGTCTTGGGGTTAAATATTTATATCTGGGAATTTTAGTCTGGGACTGAAATATTTTAGAGGCCTTTGAGCGGGGTACGTTAAAATTAAAAATAAAAATTAGAAATTATATTAATTAAATAAATAGAGAGATAATAGAGAGATAAATAGAGAGATAAATTTTACAAAATTTTACAAAAATTTTAAAATGATTTGCGAAAAAGGGCGGAAGTCAGAATGTAAGGGTTAATTAACCAATTATATTTCGGGGTTGGAGGTATAAAGTTAAAAAGTGACTACTGACTAAAAAAGTATTTTAAGTTATCAAATTTCGAACTATAAAAACGACAAAATGCCACAACTACAAAATGCCAACTCTTAATTCGCCAAGTTTTTAAATGTCAACTTTCAGAGAATTTCAGTATGGGAGAAAAGGTCCGGGATATGAACAGATTAAAATATATTAACTAAATAAAAATAAATTAATTAAATAAATGTGGAGAAATAAATTTTATAAAATTCTAGAAAAAAATAAAATGATTTGCAGAAATAGACGGAAGTAGGAATGTAAAGTGAAGTTGATAAATAATTTTTCGTTATATTTGGGGCCTGGAGGAAGAAAGTTAAAAGTGACTACTGACTAAAAAAGTGACTACTGACTACTGAAAATTAACTACTCTTATCATGTCATTTGCGGGAAAATTTCTTCTCGCAGTAAAATAGATTTCTGTCTGGGGGCTGAAATATTTATTTCAGCGAATTTCAGTCTTGGGGCTGAACCGTTTAAGTCTGCAAATTCTGTCAGGGGGTGAAATATTTTGGAGACCGGGTCTGTGATACGGTATAATTGAAAAAGTTGTATTAATTAAATAAAAATAAATGTGAAGAAATAAATTTAAAAAATTTCATAAAATAATTTGCAAAATTGTGCGAAATACAAATGTGAGGGGAAGTCAATTAATTATTTTCAGATATGAATTTTTAAATAAAAAACAAAATGCCAAACATACAAAATGTCAACCTACAAAAGGTCAATTGATGGGAATTTCGACAAAAAAATTAAAAAATTTAAGTCTGGGAATTTCAGCCTGAGATCGAAAAATTTAGGATTAGGAATTTCAGTTTGTGACTGAATTATTTAGGCAGAAAATTTCAGTCAGGGAATCAAAATGATTTGCAAAAATGAACTAAAGGAAGTTAAAGGGAGGGGACGTAAGGGAAGGTAACGATTGTAAAGGGAACAGAGATGAGTAGTTACCCCCACCATTTTGTTGCACAGTGTACAACAAAATGGAGGGGGTGTGGCGGCATGATCAAGGGGAAACCAAAAGGTGTAGGGGGTTTCCACCCCCCACCCCCATCAATTTCCCCGCACTTGTGCGGGGAAATGGCGGCATGATTAAGGGGAAACCAAAGGGTGTGGGAGGTTTCCACCTCCCACACCAACAATTCCTTGTACTTGTACAAGGTACAAGTAGTGGTGCGGGGAAATGGCGGCATGATTAAGGGGAAACCAAAGGGTGTGGGAGGTTTCCACCTCCCACACCAACAATTCCTTGTACTTGTACAAGGTACAAGTAGTGGTGCGGGGAAATGGCGGCATGATTAAGGGGAAACCAAAGGGTGTGGGAGGTTTCCACCTCCCACACCAACAATTCCTTGTACTTGTACAAGTAGTGGTGCGGCAAGACAGAGGGAAACCAAAGGGTGTAGGGGAGATCTTCGGCTCCCACACCACAAATGGCGGCGGAAACCAAAGGGATTGGGAAACTCTACGCTCCCGGAGTGATAAGTGACAGCTTATGAATGACAGGTAAAAGTTACAAGGTACATGAAAAGTGACAGGTTCTGATTGATTGACAACTACAAGTGACAAGGTACAAGTACAAGACTTCTATCTGGGGGGCTGAAATATTTGGGGGGCAGGGGTTTCAGTTTGGGACTGAAATATTTTGATCAAAGATCAAAAAACCTAATAAAATAATAAAATCCCCGAGCGGAATCGGTCCTTCCCCAAAATTTGCAAGTGCGGAAACCTTAACCATTCGGCCACGGAGGTTTAATAACACTTTATCAAATTAACCCATTTATGTATTTCCCGGTAAACTTCGGTGGAGGGGGGTTGGAGGAAGAAAGTTTAAAGAAAGTAAAAGAAGGAAATTGGATCTCTCCCTCCCAAGGTCATTTGCGGGAAAACTTAAAAATATTTCTGCCCAGCAAAAAAGTTTGGCTCCTATTGGTTGTTTGTGGGGATTTAAAAATTAATTTTTGAAAAAAATTCGAAATTTCGAGTCGAAATTTCGAAATGACAAATCGAAATTTCGTAATAAAAATTTAAATTTCAATTTAAATTTTAAAATTAAAAAATTAAAAAAATTAAAATTAAAAAATAAAAAAATTAAAAAATTAAATAAAAATGAAGGAGAAAAAAATTTACAAAAATTCTGAAAAAATTTAAAATAATTTGCAAAAATGGGCGGAAGTCAGAATGTAAGGGGAATTACCCAATTATTACGAAATCCCAAATTTCATAATGTCAAAACGACAAAATGTGACAAGACAAAATGCCAGCTTTCAGAATGTCAACCTTAAAATACTAATTGGCGGGAATTTTAAATTTCCCTAAAAATTTATTAATCCTGGGAATTTCAGTCTGGGGATGAATTATTTTTCCGGGGCATTTCAGTCTGGGACTGAAATATTTATGGCGGGAACTACAGCCTGGGACTGAATTAATTTGGGGCTGGGAATTTCAGTCTGGGTCTGAATTATTTTGGGCAGCAGACTGATAAAAGAAGTGATACGGAATGACCTTGAAATATTACGAAATAAGGGAAATTATGTAGATAAATACAAATCTTTAAGCTGATTAATGAGTTTTTGAGGAGAAATGTAAAATGTGTCATGACCTTGAGAAATATTTCGTAATCGGGTCACGTGACCAAAATGAGGAGTATAAAAGGCCGAGTTTTTTGTCATTCTTAACCATTTGACTCATTAAACAAAAACAATCTATTTTCAAAAAATCTAAAAATGTCTTTTAATAACGGACAAAACGGACCTCCTCCAAACAAACGCCCAAGATTCAACATCCAAAATCTTCTACCTCACTTATTCGATAACATACAAAACGGCACGGGGACAAATAACCTTGAAAATTTTTACCGCCAAATAGATTATGAAACTGATTACAGCAGCAAATTTAAAATGATGAAAACAACTGGAAAATTTATTATCGAAAAAATATCTGAAAATCCGGAAGAATTACTACGAAAAATTATTCAACAATGTATGGATAAAACTATTAAGGAAGCGAAAAATAAATCAATAGAACCCGAATGTTTGGGAGCATTAATTTCTTCACAATTGTTGGATAATGACATATGGATTCCTATTAGAAAAATTGAAAATGATACAATCGAGAACATACTTAATCGTTTCCAGCTTGTTTCCCAATCAAAAATAGAAAAAGGATCACTTCTTAACCAACCATTCACAATAGCGATTCAAACACTTGGAATCTCCTCTCTTCCGAGAAAGAAGACAATTAGAGGTCGAGCACCGCAAATACATACAACAAATAGTTTTCAAATAAACCTGTCTTGTCTATTAAAAATTGAGAATACCAATAATTTATGCCTTTTCTACGCTCTGGAGATAACAAGAAAATACCTTACCAAAGAATTGGGTGCGCGTTGGAATTTTACAAGATATATGCAAAATAAAAACAAACAAATGAATGACGTTTTGGATCTGCTAAAAGCAGCAAAAATTCCCCAAGACCTCCCTGAATATGATGCCGTGGAATATGTGCCTGTGATTGTAAACTTTTGGGCCGAAAAATATAACGACTGTGGATTTAAGTTCAAAGTATTCATATTTGGAAATGAGAGTGAAAAACCAAAATATACTTACGGAAGCGAAAATTTCAATATGCCAATTTCTATCTTTCACTCAAATGACCATTTTGATGGAATAAGAAATGTTGGAGGAATGTTTGGATTGGGAGTAAAATATTGTTTTACATGCGAAAAGAAGTTTAGAAAATCAATGGAACATGACTTGAGATGTAAATCTCTTTGCAGATATTGTGGGCGAATTGGAAGTGAAAGACCTTGTGTTGCGACGGGAGATTTTTTCAAAAAATGTGATGATTGTGGGAAAAGATATTTAAACGAGGACTGTTTTAATCATCACAAAAAAGTTAATAATTGCCGACAAACAAGACAGTGTGAGAAATGTGGAGTTATATGGTCAATGAGAAACTATAGAAGAGAACAGCAAAAGAAGCACGTATGTGGGCAGAAGTGGTGCCAAATTTGCAAGCAATTTCATAGCATGGATAGAGGATGCTATATTCGCCCATTGGAACTGAAAAAACCTGTACATTACCGCCTAGTAACATTTGATTTTGAAGCAACACAAAATGAAAAGATAAAAGAAATTACAAAAGAAGAAAGGCGGCTTCACAAAGTAAACTTCATTGCTGCCACTGTAACCTGCACAAAATGTATGGAAGATGATCAATTATGGCGTGCCCCTCTCAAACAAAATAGAAAAAGTTGCACAATCTGCGGAAGCAATCGATCAATTACATTTTCCCACAGACCGTTCACTCAAACTACAGTCGATCAGAAAATCATCACAACAACACCACTAAAAGAATTTATTGATTGGATTCTATTTAAACTCAACCCCCATTATACGACAATGGCATTTTCTCACAATGGAGGACGATATGATATGATTATGGTTTTCAAGGAAATTTATTCAAAAGGAGTTGTTCCGTCAATGATTCGTCGTGGTATTAAGCTTTATGAATTGAAAATTCCCCGCAACAATAAATGCAATGAAGTTATATTCAGAGACTCGTTTAATCTTTGTCCTGTCGCTCTGGGGAAATTGGTTGGCGCCTTTGGACTGCAAGTAACTGAAAAACAATTCTTCCCACATTTGGCAAATATTCCGGAAAATTATAATAAAATATTAGCTCAACTACCACCAAAAACTGATTACTTATATGGAGGAATGTCACCTGAAAAGCAAAATGAATTTGATAAATGGTATGAAAAAGAAAAAAATAATCAATTTAACTTGGATGAAGCTTTGGCCGAATACTGCACAAACGATGTACAAATACTCACAGAAGCACTGATTGCCTTTAGAAAGAAGTTTACAGAAATTAGCAAGAAGAAAAACACACAACCTGGAGCAGCGGCGGAAGGAATCGATATTTTAAAAGAAGCAATGACAATAGCATCGGCCTGTATGAAACATTTTCGACTTAACCATCTGAAATCTGAACACTTGGCAATTGTTCCGGAGAAAGGATATGAGAACTGTGATAATCAAAGTGAGCTTGCCCTAAAATATTTACAATGGTACGAGGAGACAAGAGGGATTCCAATTAAAACTGCACATTCAGAAGGTGGAGAACATGTAGTGGCTGGAAAATATAAAGTAGATGGGTATATAGAAGCAGAAGATAGGGCAATTGAAGTGAACGGGTGCGTTTGGCACGCATGCCAAAAATGTTTCGGAAATGAGCTGGATAAAATTTTAACCAATGGAAAAAGTGTAGGAGAAACGCGTGAAGATGATGAGAAAAGATTGGAAATAATTAAAAAATATATAAAGAATGTTGACATAATATGGGAATGTGAAATTCACCAGATGCTTCGCCGCAATAAAAAAATGAGGAAGGCTTTTGCAAACTACCACAACAAAGGACCAATCAATATTAGAGACTGCTATTTTGGTGGGAGAACTGGACCCTTGCAAATGTACTTTGACGCAGAAAAGGAACAACATAAAATTACCTACTTAGACTTTAATTCACTTTACCCCTCAACAATTGCTACAACATCATTTCCGGTTGGGCATCCGAAAGTACATGTTGTACCATTGTCAGAACAAAAAGTCTACTGGACAAGGAGTGAGCAGATCCCATTCAAAGGAATTTTAAAAGTATTTATATTGCCCCCGCCTCAACTGGACGTTCCTGTTATTCCCATCAAATTTGATGAACGACTTCTTTTCCCGCTTTGCAGAAAATGTTCACTCACCTACCCAAATGGCGCAAACATAAAAGATTACCGCTGCCCGCACAATGACGAAGATAGAGGGTGGGTTTCAACAGTTACATCGATTGAATTAGAAGAGGCATTAAAAGTTGGATACACAGTTACAAGATTTTATAGAGCACTACATTATGAGAATTGGGATGAAAATTTATTTAAAAATTATGTGGCCGAGTTTATGGCAATGAAAATCCATGCGAGCGGGTTCCCCGAAGGAATAGAAGGAAACGAAAGTGAAGATAAATTTATTAGAGAATGTAAAGAAAAATTTGGAATTGAGCTTCAGAAAGAAAAAATGGTCCCAGACAAGGCAATGCGGTACATCTCTAAATTAATGCTAAACTCTCTGTGGGGCAGATTCAGTCTAAGGAATACCTTGTCAAAGAGTGTGATTACAGATTCACCAGATGAACTTAGAGAATATTATTACAACAAATCAATAGAATTACAATCAGTGGATAAATTAACTGAAGAGGCAGTGATTATAACATACAAAACAAGGGATGAATTTATAATTGAGCATGATACATCAAATATCGTGATATCACTATGGACAACGTCAGCAGCAAGGATTAGACTATTGAAAGCAATGCAAAAGGTAGCTGGAACACTAGACTGCAATCTTTTGTATGGGGACACAGACAGCATATTATTCTCCCATCCTAAGAATATGGAGTGCCCACTCCAGACTGGCCCCCATCTAGGAGATCTGGCAAGGGAATATGCAGGGTCAGAAATTAAAGAATATGTTGGTGGGGCGTGTAAGGCTTACGCACTGAGAATGGAAAGCAACAAAAATGCCAAAATTAGCAGTGTCCTAAAAGTACGCGGCATCACTTTAACTGCTGATGTCTGCAAGATTTTGCACTTTGATAGTTTCAAAGAAAGCGTACTTCAATATGCGAATGGAGGAAGCGACAATGAGGAAGATGAAGACGTGGATAGGGGAACAATTATGATTGAAAACCCAAACTTTATACGCCGCGATTTGAAGGATGGAATGGTTTATTCAACTAAGATGAGGAAAATATTTAGACCAATAATACAAAAAGGGATAATTTCAAACCTCAAAATTGTACATTTCGGACAAAAATAATTTTTTCACTTGTGTTGTAATATTTCATAATATTTTTTATTGTACTTGTTAATTTCACATTAATTGTTTTAAATTGTATTTGAATTGTTGATAAAATTGTTAAATTATTAAGATGTTTAATAAAATTTAAAGTTTATAAGATAGGGTTAAGATAAGTTAAGGATTTTAAGTTGCAATTGATGCAAACTTAAGGAATAGAAGATACAATTGCTGCAAAGTTAAGAGATAGAAGATATAATCCATGCAAAGTTAAGCAATGGAAGATGTAGTTTTTAGGGGTAAAATTGCAAAGTTAAGCGTTGGAAGACACAATTGTTGCAAAGTTAAGGGATAGAAGATACAATTGATGCAAAGTTAAGAAAGAAAAGATTAAATTGATGCAAAGTTAAGAGAAATAACACAAAATTGTCAGTAAAAGAGTCAAAAATAGCCGTGGTCCACACTTTTTCTTATTGGCGGGTGTAAGGGGTGTGTGTGCTCATTGGCTATAGGAGCAGGTATATATTCATATGAATGCTACAGTATACACGCTCCTTATTAGTGGTGTATGAAAAAAGTTCTCTCCATTGGATAGCTCTGTGTATATAATCTCTGTTTGAATTGTAAGGGGAGACTGCTCATTGGTTGAATGCTAGTGTGTACACCTTGCTAAATTACTAATTTTAAAACAAAGACAAAATTAATCATTATTAAAAATAAAAAATGTTAAAGTTCTCGATTATATTATTAATTAGTCCCTCCTTAGTGGCAGACACTTGGGGCTCAAAACCCTGGAAGAGAGAAGAGTATGTGACAACATTATTTCGGAGGACGCCGCTGCCTATATGGCGGAGAACACCGCCACCAATAATTCCTAGCAGAGATAAAAATACAACAGTGGAAATACCAATATGGAGGAGAACACCACCCCCACTATTTCCTAGCAGAGAAAAAAATACAACAGTGGAAATACCAATATGGAGGAGGACACCACCCCCAATATTTCCTAACAGAGATGTAAATAATTTAGGAGAGTTTCAAAGAGGAGATAAATTGAGCAATAAATCATTCAATAAAACAGCTGTCGGGAAAATATGGTTTATAAAAGATATTTTTTATCTGAACAAGACAGATTTAACCAGGCAAGCAGAATTAAAAAATATGGGGAGGTGGATTCTACGTTGGGATCTTTGGGATAAAAAGTTCAAATCTGGCAAATATAATAGAACAGACTACTTAATGTTTTCGAGATGGCGATTTTTATACGAACCTCCTATTTCTAACATTATCGATTTTTTCAAAAATTTGTAAAATTTTTGTTTTCATTTTTTCATGTAAAATTATAACAAAGTAATTTGAATAAAATTTTTGTATAAATTAATCAAAAGATATCATAACATTGCGCTTTTCCCACTTGTTGGGGTTACCTTCTATTTCAATCCACAATATTCCCCGCCTGGATTTTCCATTAGTGGGCGTAGGTGGTAAGCTTCCGGAGGATATTGGAACACTATTGAGACTAAGTGTTGATATTGACGAAGTTGCATGCGTGCGCCGATTTATATTTGTTGAACAACTTATAGTTGAAGGGGGCGATTTAGGGGCAAAGCATAAAAGTTCAAGCGGGTAGTATCTCTCACAAATTCCATTCTTTGTAATTGTTCTTTCGATAACACACTGATGAAACGGGTGTTGGAGTTTTATCTTATGGTGAGCAAAGAAATATGCCGCAACAGATATGTTGAATGGATAGCCTAAATCGCCGAAGGCTTTGATTAAATGAGACCCTGAAGTTGTAATTCCGTCACATCTAACTCTACTTTTCATACCGTTCCTATCAGAATAATTTGTCTCTAACCTCCCCTTTTCATTAATAAATTTTGCTATCAAGTCGGCATTTTCTTGATACATTAATCTATATCTCACCAAATAGCTCGGACAGTTCAATTTTTTAGAAATCTCGTCCAAAACAGTGTTCATATTTTAAAGTTTAATTTAAGTGATTAATTAGATGATCAATTAACTTATTGAATGCTAAGTTAAAAAATTTTTCCCTTTTATACGCAAAATTTGACCTTGAAAATTGGCAAGTATTACGAAATATCTGAAAAGGGCGGAGCCTAAGGGTAGTATATAAGGCAAAAAATTTCCCAACTTCTCATTCACTTCTTCATTTATTAAAACTTGCAATTTGAATTACTAAATAAAAATGAGCGGATTAAAAAAAGAGAAGATCCCGAAAATAGAATTACCTAATGAGCCAAAATTTGAGGAGGATGAGATTATTGAATTAGAAGAGGAAAAGGAAATAAGCAATAAAGCAAAAACCCCTACCTCTAAGGTAGCTAATGGGAAGATTCAGAAGAATAATGGGATAAATCCGCGTATTCTGTGGAAACTTGTGCGCATTAAGGAAACCCCGCGGATAGAAATTAGAATTTGCAAGAAATGTGCCAATGCGCTTTATAACGATAAAAATAAATTTACTCAGAAGGAAAATGGGAATATTGGAATTTGCTTTGAGATTTGTGAAGCATGCGCGAAATTGAATATGCAACTCAAGGACTTTGTTGCTGAATGGGATGAGAAGAATTTGCAGAACTTGAAAAAGTGATTAATTTTTTCATTCAAATTGTTATTTGTTTTTAACTTCATTTCGTTAATTGTATTTTTTAACTTTAGATAAAAATTTTTTAATTATTAACATTGGAATTTCTTAATCATAGGATTCTGACCCTTTTAGGATTCTACCCCCTTTTCATCATAGGATTCTAACCCTTTTCCGAAGGCCACGCCCATTTTCAGAGTATAAATACCGAAAAATTCCCAAGGATCAAACTTCCATTCAAAAATTGGATTCATTTATCAAATTTCTTAAAAATGTCAGTAATTGAGAATAATTGCCAGCTCCTGGAAAAAGTTATTCCCGAGGTTTTATTTACAGTTTCTTCTTCTGGTGTGACAATTTCGTCACCGCGGCTGATAACCGCACGTTTTGTGGAGTTTGACATGGGTGGGAAATGCAAAAGTTGCAGGGGAGAAAATGTGGACATTGATTTTATTGTTACTCCGAAGGATGTAACCCTATATTGCAACCGCCTAAAATCAGAGAAAGTAGTAATGTTTGACCATATTTACGAGATTCCTCAACAATGTGTTTTTCGCGTAAAGTCAAAAGGGAGGAATTTTAATATTTTTCACAAGGAACAAATCTGGAATGAAAAACAGTTTATCACCGGTAATGAGCAAATGAGTGTCAAGGAATTTTTGGCGAAGTTTTCACAGAAGAATACTCAATTAGAGAAAGAAGAAGCAAAAGAAGATATAAAGAAAGATAAAGAAAATAAATTAGAAGAAAAAGATAATTCAATACCCCCTCTTAATCATTAATCATTTTTTACATTGTTATTTCCAGCAAACATTTTAAACATGAATTACCATTTATTTTCCAATAAAGATTTAAAATTGAAGCTTCCATTTGGGTGTATTATTA